CTCTTTCAGTATGCATCAAAATGTGCCTAAATGTTCAAATATTATGTAAACAAATTGTTTTTCCCAAACTATGCAGAAGACTCATGAGTCCAAATAAAATATAAAATATAAATCTCAACTGCCATATCAGCCTCCTGGTGGCTAATGGCTTAGCAAATTAGGTGGAATGTTATGGTCTGATCATGAATGTTCGTTGTTTGAAATATTCTGTACAGCAGGAGTTGTATCTAGCCCCAGTAAAGTTCCAAGGTATGACTGGTCTCTAGGATCCAACATTTGCTCAGGCCTTACAGGATGAACAATATTTGCAGGTTGTGGAGTGAGAGTGTATTTCTCGAGAAATGACAGATCTGTCGCCCGTTGATAATCTGCCTGCTCGGGCTGTGAAGGAAGAATGCTGTGTGACTGAGCAGTGTGCTGCACTAGGTCAGCCTGTGGGTCAGGCATGGGCACTGGGACCAGAGTCACAGGCACACAGACTTCCGTGGATACATTCTGTAGCAAACTTTTGGCATCTGATTGATATGCTTTGGACTGTTCCACGTATTGTTTAGCCTCAGTCTGGTAAACTTTGTCATCAGAGGTGTACTGCACTGGTAAGGAGACTAGCTTTTCCTCTGGAGAAGATGCCAATGCCTCTTCTGCAGCCTTTGATCCATGAACATGATCAATATGATATTTCAGCTTGTCTTTTCGTTTAAATGTTGCATTGCAGTGTTGGCAATTAAAAGGTCGAGCATCTGAATGAATAACCATGTGTTTCGTTAACGTCTTCTTAATTCTAAAAGACTGATTACAGATTTGACATTTGTAGGGTTTCTCGCCTGTAAAGACAGAGAAGTAAGAATTAGTTCTTCTGAGTAACACCATATCACACATAGGCAAATACCTAAATGGATTATGGCATAGAGTCCTAGTATAAAACAACTTTACTAAAAACAGAGCATATGGTTAGCATCAATTTTGGAATCAAGTGAGCCATTAAAAGTCTCTTTAGAAGTTATGTAAGCATATTCTTCTCCTTACATACAATTCTCTCAATGCTTGGGCTTTTTGTCAGAAACACACAAAGATTATCAAAACATAAATCAAATGAAAAAGAAGAGTCTTTAAACTTGTTACAATACTGGTATTAAATAACCTCAATTTCTACTTCTATCTATGTCAAAAGTTCAAGGATTTTCCTAAACATAAGGCAGGAAAAACAAAGTCAAAGTGAAAGACATAAGCCTTTCCAAAGGGACTTCAAATCCTTGTTTGGATTAGGACTTGAAATGTAATAATCTCTGGACCACAGAAACATTTAGAAGCTCTGGGTAAATCTGGCAAGAACACACACCAGTAAACTCAAGGAGGAGGCACAGACAGCACACCACAAACCTGTGCTGAGGATTATCGGTGTTTGAACTGATACATTCAGAGAGCAGTATTCAGCAATGAATAACATACAAGAAAGAATAAAGTCTTGCTGCTTCCTCCTACTCTTGCCCTAAATGCTCAACAACCATAATGAATTAAATAACTGAATCAATGTTGATGCATACAAATACATTCCTACATGTTTTCTGGTTTTATTGGAGTTTATTTTTACCTGAATGTGTCCTAAAATGCATTTCCAAACTTGATTTCCCTTTAAAAACTTTCTTACAGACTTCACACTGGTGAAATGTTGCTTTGTATCTTTAAAGAAGAAAAGACATTTCATGTTAGACACTTTTTTTTTAACCAACTTACAACAAAGCTATGTGCACAGTCCTTTCTGAAATCTTTTAACAGCAAGATAGCTAAATATTAACGTTTCCAAATTTCCTCACCTATTTTCCTATTTCCTGGCATCTACATACCAATTAGGGCAATTAGCTTCTTTTCAATATTCAATCCTATTCTCTGCTAGGATTGGCACTGAAGTATTCAAAGAGCAAAAGCCACTAGAACTTCTTTCCTGACTCCAGAAGTATCCTTAAGTAACATTTTTTGTCCAACATCCACAAGAACCTTTCACTTTGGCAGAATTAGGCTGTAAATAGATTCTAGGAATGGTAGAATTTCTAGGTAGGCTACTGCCTACCAAGGAAAACCAAAGAGAATAATCAACATACTGTACTTTTAACACAGACCCCTCTATAATGGCTTCTACACACACTAGTGAGTACTAACAGTTCAATGCATCATTTGAAATACAACTAGGTCTCAGTTTATTTGAAATCTCAGAAAGGCTTATTTTTAGAGCTCAAGAATTTTATAACCCTATTGCATTTCCAATTTACACACGTAACTCAAGATTCAAAGTTTTTTACCTACTTTCAGAGCCACTAATCTGCTACAAGCTTCTAAAATACCTAAGCGTGGGACAGTTCTCACAATGTTTACATGATGACTAATAATTCAGTCTTAACTAGACTGCAATGACAGTATTACAGCAATCAACAATTTTAGAACAACATTGAGACAGATAATTGTGTGTGCAGCTTTTGCTTTCTCTACTGAACTGTCTTTATCTCAACCCACGAGTTTTTCTAGCTTTTACCCTTCTGATTCTCTCCCCCATCCTGCTGGTGGGGGAGTGAGCAAGCAGCTGTGTGGTGTTTGGTGGCTGCCTGGGGTTAAACCACTACACCACTTCAACCTGGAATAATGGTATCTCTATAAAGACTAAGGTATCAGGCATGACAAACACACAGACTACTAGAATTCTGCTCCAACATGCAAGTCCCAGAGAAGTCAGTTACAGTACAGAAGTACTTATGTAGTTGTAGGAAACCCACACTTACTTCTGCCAGACTTTTTCTCCTAGATGAACACTTTTGTAATGAACAGTAAGGTGATCTCTACGGCCAAAACATTTTCCACATTCTTCACACTGATGTGCTTTTTCACCTATAAAGACAAAATTCAATAAACTGTGGTTAAATGTTTTGTAACTTATTAAATGTCTAAGAGCTGTAATTCTAGAACATACAGTAGATTCATGTTCCCAAAGTTCAGCCAATCAAGCTTTTCCATACCTTACTCAGAGAAGGATTCTCTGTTATCAAAGAACAAAATGCAGGTAGTATGTTGGTTCTATCAGAGTAAGGGATTTTACCACTTGCTATATATGACTCTTACATATCATATATGACCATTTGTCATTCCTACAACGAAATTTGTGTTTGAAACAAGAGGCACTTCCCCAGACACTGACTGCATGGGAGGTACAAGTGAATAACTAGGAACATACTCATTATTACCTGATGTGAAATCTTCAATAATTCAGCTGCTTTAAAAGAGCAGCTTATTGAAACATACCAATTATTTTCAGCTATTAATTTTTAGACCTTAACATTACACTGCAGCATTTATCTTTTTAATTATCCTGATTTACATAGTTACCTTTTTTCTTTTAGACTGCTGTTTAAAAGTATCTTGATTCTTTTTAGCCATCTTGAGATCTTCCACAAAGTGGCAGAGTGTTTCTTCTCATATAAGTAGGAGTGTGGACAGTCAAAGAATGTAACTTTCTAGAGGGGGAAAAGCAAATAGAGTAGAAAAGAGGATTTTTTTTTTTTTTTTTTTACTTGAGTTTTCAAAGATTTCTTTATTTGATAGCAGACATGATTTCAAACACCAAAAAAGAAGCTGTCCTTCAACATAAAGGCTCAGGAAGTTTAGACTCTGATCACTTTCATATTTTCATGCTGCCTGGTAAGTATTTTGCCTCCTAGAAGGCTATATTCCCTCTGGATTCTGTTCCAAAAATGTCCCTGGTGAATCGTCACTCTTCCTAAACATTTAATAACCTTTCTGCACTCAGTGCAACAGGTTCTTTTTCTTCCTCCTGATCATCCCCATCTGGCTGTTCTCAGGTCTGACTTCCACCACCTTCCTTCCTTCCCTCTTCCCCACAACAGAGACTTCATAAACACCTCTTTTCAATGTTTTTACATTAAAGTGATCAGTGTACAAACTTCGACAGAGACTCTGACAGCTTCTTCTGTGTTGTGATAATAATGTTTCACACAATTGCCATTAAAAAAAAAGAAATCTGAACTCATTAAAAAATCCTCCTTTTTCACTTTTGCTTTTTTTATTTATTATTTTTAAAGCAATTCACTGTTACATGTTTTTGACTGTCCCTCAGCTTTCTATGTTACCATGGAGGAAACACTTGGCTTTTGAACCTTGAAAACATGTAATATTAACCCTCCTTTAGTAGACCTTAGAAATAGTGAAAAGAGCTTTTATCAGGACTGAAACATTGTATGTACTGAAAAAAAGAAATCCGTAATTAATTTTTTATTTGTTTTTATTTCAAAATAGTAATTTTGTAGTCAATTAAAAAAAAATACCTACCTGAATGTATTTTTTTGTGTTTTGTCAGATGGTCATGCCGAATAAATGTTTTCCCACATTCTTCACATTCATATCTCTTGTCATCATGGTGGACTCTTAGATGAAGTCTGCATAGTTATAGTCATAAACACAACCATAAAATGCAATTTTGTCAACATAATCTGTACTGCTAATTCAATGCAAAATACCAGAAAACACAGTCTTTAATGCTTTGCATAAGTGTAAGGAAATAACTTTTGGTTGAAGTACCCTTAAACTGCTTTTAGAAAGCAAGAGAAAACAGAGCTGAACTCTTACATGTGATACTAATTTAGTAGACTATTTTAGACCTTTGCTTATTTTCCCTTTGAATAACAAAGATACAAAAGTTTAAGGTGTCCAAGAAACTCAACCTTGATACAAGATTCGTAGGGAACTCTACCTGTGTTTAAGCCACTAATGTATTATAAATTAAATGACTTCTCACAGATTATGAACATATTTTCAATATTTAAACATGCTTGGAGCATTTACTAATGCTGGAATAAATCAAAATACATACATTACAAAGAATTATGTTGATAATATGCTGATATATCACCAAATAAGTAAAACAGTTTAGCAGTTTAATAAAAACCTGTACCTGTAAGAGCTTCCATGGCGAAAACTCTGCCCACAAATACTGCAAAGATGAGGCTTCTCTCCACTGTGAATTCTCAGATGTTCTTTCAAAGTTGTTCTGTTTAACAAAGGCAGCGAATCTTAATTTTAAGCCACATCTCTGCCACTTTACAGTGAAACATACTATCATTTTCTCAATTTCTTTAACTCTGATGGATCACAATATATCCAAATGACTGCATAAACATACATACAGTCAAAGGCAGAATGACAACCTATCATTTACTGAACCAGCTGGGTCTAGAAACAGGATCAGTAGAGAAATAAACTATCATCCTAACGCCCATTTGGAAAACATACATTAAAGAAATCTTTTCAAACAAATGCAAGATGTTCTTAACACAGTTGTACCTCATAAATAATTACCTGCAGCTGTCACCCTTAATTTCAGAGGTGATCAGAAAATGATACCTGTGGCTCTGGCACCACCTTTTTAATACACTCTCCCTCTGAAATGCTCTCGCTTATGTGAAAAACTCAAAGCTAAAGCATACACAAAATCAAACAAAAAATCTAAGTAGTTCTCTGTTCTGCTGAAGTTCAGGTAGTGACTCAACTCCTTACCGTTCCCTGACAGATTTTCCACAGATGAAACACGTCCATTTCCTCTTTCCTCCATGAGTACATTCTATATGGCGTTTCAGATTTCCTGTATCATTGAACTGGCGGCCACAAATATCACAAGGAAAAGGCCCTACAGGTAGGCAGACACACACAGCAGTATTAACTGTCAGCTAAACTGATCAAGATGCAGACTGGTCATTTGTGAAAACCCTGATCCATTTACCAAGCGAAAGTTCTGTCTCACAAATTACTAAGTTTAGCACAGTCAGCATACTTTAATTAGACTTTGTGCACTTTCTGCTCAGGAAAGTTCTTTCTAATACATGGTATTCTGGCGAATTTCATGTCCGTGAAGGAAAAATATAGAATTAACCTAGCAGAAATAATTAGTAATAAAAAAGTCTTCAGAATACTTCAGGAAGAGAGGAAAAAAGGTCTTTTGAAAACTTCAGGAAGAATCTGACTCCAGAGCTGAGAACCAATTACATGCAAAAAGAGTTTTAAAACCAAACTAACCTTAACTCTTCTTCCCCCCCACCCCCCAAATTTTGCACTTATGAGATACAACAAAATGCTTCAAAAAGATAGCACAACAGAAAAGTTAAAAACTCAAACACCAAAAAGCCTCAAACAACTCTCCCACAAAACCAGAAAAGGGAGAACTGGAAAAGGAGGTGGGGTGGAAACCAGATTGGATCAGAACATACAATGGTGGAGAAGGGTTTTACTTTTAATCTATTGTTTACATGTCAGAAGGAGGTTTCATACCAAGATGGAATTTTTCTTGATGTTTCAGTCTTGCAAATCGGGATTTAAAATGCTCTTCACAGTAGGTACACTTAAAGGGTTTATCCTGAGAGTGAAGGATCATATGCTCTTCTAGGTGAGGTCTTCGAGTGAAAGATTTCTTACAAATCTAAAATGATAATATACTTTGTCAAAGATACTTCAATTACAACCAGTTTTTTTCCTATTTATAAACTCTCAAGAGTTTAGTTCACCTGCCCTCTGCACCAATATAAGATTAAACATGTTCTTCAAAAACCTACAATATCCCAACTTGTAAAGTTTTGCAGTCATCATCAAAACCAATCTGGTTTTGGATGCTGAAACAACTCAGACAGTGATAAAATCTGCAGTATAAGCTATTGTAGAACTAGAATCATACTTGCTCCTTTATTTCCTCTGGGAAATTCTCTGACAGCAGGTATTAAAGAGAAAATGCCAATACCAACAAAGAAATATAACTCAAAATATATTTTAGAGCTGCAGAACCTTCACAAGGCAAGAATTACTGGAGCTTTTTAGTACTTGTTCTCAGATTAACCAAAACCTAAATGTACAAGAATTATTAGTAGTGATTAAAGTAAGCATGCAGTACAAATACAGAACTGAAGCCACAGCTCAAATTTAGGAATTTAAACTAGGTATTACAACTTAACACCAGGGTCCTATGCTTTAACATAAACCAACAGTGCTCACTGATTTCACTGTGAAACTCTTGCTGTTGTTTACAGCAGCTGAATTTAGCACTACCCAACTCCCACACATTAAATTGTGCAATCAGTTTCTCAGAGCACATCTGAATAAGGGACTCAAAAGCAACAGCTTTTTTTGTTTAAAAAACTCATTACTGTTCAATATAGGTGTAAGAAAATTCCATACCTGGAAAAAGTCTAACAGCCTTCTTCCTTTTCTTTACTATTAATACTTTATTATAGTTTCTTTAAATTTGCTCATATTCCTCAAGGATTAAAGTATGGTCACCAAATCCTGGTGTTCACACACAGTCTACAGCATAAACCAAGAACCTGCAGAAATCCTGCAGCAAACTGTGGCACCTCAGCCCCCAGAATATACTACACAACCTGGAAACAAACTCACAGCACTCAAGGGTTCTGTTCAATCTCCAACTGCTATAAAAGCTAAACTTCTACGTCTGCTTTTAATGCAAGTCCATTATCAATGCTCATGAGCTGGAAAAGAGCAGCAGCTCACTTTTTAAAAATTTCTACCTAAAATTATGTTCCAGCACCTAATGTGACAGACACACAGGGCCATAAAGCAGTTTGCATAAACAAAAGAGCTGCCCTGAGAAAACAAAAAGTAAACCAATTCCCTTAAAAAATCCAAACAAAAAAACCCCACATTTGAAACCTTAAAACATTACTTGGAAGCAAATAGATTGAGAATGGAAGTTCTAAAAACTACTTTTTACAGTAGATGAAGTTTCACACATAGCTGAGGAAAATCAAGGAAAGTATTCTATGATTCTACAACTAGAGATAAATTTAGTACAAATTTACAACTCTATGGACATGCATATGCAGCTAAATGAGAAAGTGTTTCATATTTAACATGTATTTTCCTCACTGTTGAGAAAGCCTTCCAGAACAGTATACTTTATGGCCAGTGCTTGATGTGCATAATTAACAGGACAGCAAATACTCTGTTTTTAAAGTATTCATAACACTCAAGTCTAATCATCTGCAAATTGATTGTCTGACTAACAGTAATAACTGATCACAGTAAAAAATACTGCCTCTATTTTAGAATTCAAATTTGTATTATCTACACAACCACAAGTTGTACATGCAAAGTTCACATCCTAAATCAGCCCAGAGGAAATGTATACCATCACTTTGAGATTTCACATAAACACATACCATATCTTCACTTCATTTCACAAAACATACTTTGAGATTTCACATAAACACATACCATATCTTCATTTCACAAAACACAGTCTCTATATTAAAAAAACCAAAAGTACTGAAGTATTGCTTACATCACATTTCCAACCTTCACTTTTTGTCTTCTTGATAGAAAGAAATTCTTGTACATTCTCTGGATGAAACCTAGGAAAAAGACAGGAGATGAAAATACTCATAGCTTTCCAAGATGTTCACATAAACACATACCATATCTTCATTTCACAAAACACAGTCTCTATATTAAAAAAACCAAAAGTACTGAAGTATTGCTTACATCACATTTCCAACCTTCACTTTTTGTCTTCTTGATAGAAAGAAATTCTTGTACATTCTCTGGATGAAACCTAGGAAAAAGACAGGAGATGAAAATACTCATAGCTTTCCAAGATGAAGATCACCCAGATATTACATATTTCTAAACTTTGTGTGTCATGAAGGTTCATCATCACACAGGTAGAACACATTCCTGATACTGAAACAATTCCAATGGCACAGAGAACTGGAAAGCTTTGCTGACTACGGAATCCTGTAGAATCTCCTATGACAACTGGTAAGACAGAGGACAGCTTCAATTATAATGCTTTGTGGATATTTACAAAAAATGAGGGGAAAAAGCAGTAGGTAAATAGTAATACCTTAAGATTAGACCTGTCATGAACAAATTATTCACCCATAACTATCTGCATGAAATGGTTTAGCCATCTATTATCACCAACAGCATAGCATCACACCTAAACCCAAGGAAGATATTTTATTCTGCCTCCAAACTAAAAGCAGCACAACTGATTATTAAGGCTGATGTGTTCTGACTGTGCTAGCTAATTTGAAACATTCTAAAATTTATAGTAACAACCACTGCATAATGCCCACAGAAGTACTGCTATTCCTTGGGGCAGGTTAAGGGTCACTGGTAATCCCCATGCCCTTTGAAAAGATACTAATTTGAAAAAATAGTTGTAAAGTAACAGAATATGCTGTGTGCATACATGCATTTATCTTTACTTTTGAAATGAAAAAAATGCTTCTGCAGACATATTTGTCCATACTTGCCTCTTCACATGCTTCGCTAAAGTCTTTTTGCTTGCATGCAGCTTATTGCAGTAGGGACATTTGTGTTCCTTTTTATGGAAGTCAGTATCACTGGAGTGTTTCTTTCTGTGCACTGTCAGGTTGGATTTTGTTGAGTAACGCTGGTGACATATGTCACACTCAAAAGGCTTCTCACCCGTGTGCACACGTGTATGGCTCTCATATTTCCCTGCACAACAACAAAATAACTGTTAGCATGAACTGGAACAGGGATCACCTACATTGCACATTAGGGATTTGTTCTCAATTGTAAGCTCCAAGAACCCTCCACACACATACCTAGAGATGTCTACTGGCTTATATCACTGAAAACTGCACAGTGCTCACCTATGTGTTTGATGCAAGGTTCCTTCACAAACTTCCATCTTAACAACTTTTAAGATAAAGAGTAAAAATCACAGGGCTCTGTATTACTGTTAAATCCATGTGAGGGTTAAGAGTCCCTCTTCTTCAGCCCAACAGCATACTCTGTTCTTAAATACTGGAAGTTACATTACTCCTCTTTCACACACGGAGCCTTCACAGAATGGGGAACAAACTGCTATTTTAAGGTGCTTTCAAACAGCAAAACACTGAACTAATGATACAGATCTTCTGACATTATCTGCATTTGGCACCCAACCTATTAGCATAAACAAACCCACTAATCTCTCATTTCTTTCACACTGTTTGCATTTCCTTTTCTGTTTGCCAGTTTTCTCCCTGAGGACAGAATGCTATCCTACACTGCAGATCTACCTACCTCAAGTCAATGGCAGGCTCTCGGCTCTGTACTAGATCACGTTTTTCTCCGTAGAATATGCATCACACTTCTGTAGCTCATAAATTTAACATACACATCAATTGTCTAACACCACACAAGTTTATAAAGAAATACCCTATGTATCACTTGTCTTAAGGCATGTTTCGCACATATTTTTGGGCTCAGAACTAGAATTCTAAATTATGAAACTGCAAAAGGTGCAACGTGCAAAACATGCCATTACAACCCTAAATACTCAAAAGTCATTTATTTCTGCACAGTAGCTGTGCTTTTATACTCTATGCTAACAACCAGAACCCAGAGCAGTGAGAAACAAATTCAGTATTTGCAGATTCTTCTAATACTGCATTCAGTTAATTTATTGAAACTGTTTAACACCACAGACATAACTGAACACACTCAGAAAAATTAGCAACACACTGGAGCAGTGAGACAATTCAGAAACTCTGATCTTCACTCTCCAGGACAGAGAAGCAGCTCAGTTTATTTCCCACACAAACAGCACCACCATATGGTAAAAGAGAACAAGATCAACCTAACTTGCTCTTACCTATTCGATCAAATTTTTTGTCACACTTGGGACACTGCAGCAGTTTTTTGCTACTGCTTTGAATGATGACTGGAGCTAATCCTTCAGGAATATTTCCCATTGAATCAACTCCCTCAGAACCCTCTTCAGCATCATTCTGTTCCTTTTCACTTTGTTCTTCAGACTCTGAATCTTCACCTGACATTTCCTCTTCCTGTCCCTCTTCATCCACATTGCATTCGCTTTCACTGTCTTCAAATTCACTTCTATCAGATGTCTCCTTGTCAGAACTGACTTTTTCCAAGTTGCTGTCAGAGGCATCACCACTTTCATTGTCACTGATATCAAATTTAACTGGACATTTACGGTTCCTCGTGGAGCGTCTAGTGGAATAGTTTGCCTTCTCAACCATCTTTAACCCATGTTTCCTTTCCACCGAAAGGGATCGGTGAGCTTTAGCCAAGTGATTTTCTAAGGACTTCTTGTAACAGAAACTTCGGCCACAAAAAGTGCACTGATGACTATTTAACAGCTTACCTGTCAGTTCACTGAGTGTTTCTACTGGTGTAGGTGCATCAGTCCCCACATCAGTCTGTACATTAGAAACACTTTCGTTATTCAGTAACTTCACTGCATCTATGATATCTAAAAATTTTGCTGCTTCTAGCACTAAGGGGATTTCATTTTTATAAACAAAAAACTCAGAGGTGTAGAGAAACTCAAGCAAATGCTGAAAGACAGAATGAGTTACATGATCTAATGTGACGACATCAGTGCTTGGATTTTTGCTCAAACAGGCATGAAAATAACTACTCCCAACAGCCACAACAACTTTGTGAGCACTAAACTCTTTTCCTTCTACAATTATGAGTAAATCACAAAATGATGGATGTTTCTGCCTATCGTCATTTAAGTATTTAAGCAAATTTTTGTTATACTGCAATGAGCTTAGGAGCTTTCTTTGTTCTGGTGAGGGTGCAAGTTCTTGGGAAGATTCGAGCTGATCTGCAGGAGCTATTTCTTCAGACTTGGGGACAATTTCTTGTGCACAGTCCACTACAAGAATCTGTTCTGAAGAATCTTTCTCATGGCCCAGACGAACCTTTTCATTTAGACTTGCAGCGAGCCGTCTCCTTTTCTTCATTGCAAAAGTGCAACTTCAAGACCAGGAGCTTCATAGGTGACTAGCAAAGAATTCCTCTGAAAACTTGGTTCTGCTCCGGACCTTAAGAAAATCTGCAACAGTAATTTCATACTCTGCAAAAGAATCATGATAAAAATTACTGTTAGTGATTCACCACTACTTCCCTTATTAATGCTTAGTGTATTTCACGCTTAGTTTCATCCATCCTGAATAACTTGAGCTTTTATTAAATCACTAAACAAAAGGGCACAGACTCAAGCTCTGCCAGGGGAGGGTTAGGCTGGCTATCAGGAAAAGATTTTTTACAGAGAGAAGTCAGACATTGGAATGGGCTGCCCGAGGAGGTGGTGGATTCACTATCCCTGGAGGTTTTCAAGATGAGACTGGATGTGGCACTTAGTGCCATGGTCTAATAACCACGGTAGGGTTGGACTCGATGATCTTTGAGGTCTCTTCCAACCAGGCTGATTCTATGATTCCGTAAAATCTCAAGGCTTAGCGTTCCAG